GCGCGTGACGGGCTGGCCCTGCCGGCGCATCAGGTCCAGCATGCTCCAGGCAGCGGCAGGGCCCTGCGAGCGCGCGCACTCCTCCAACGGGGACGGTGCGGCACTGTCGGTATGTCGGGGCCTCGCGGACGGGGCGGCCATGACTGCGCGCGGCGGGGACAGCTCACGTAAGCCAAGAGGGCTCGAGCCCAAACCGGAGGGGTCTTTGCTGGCTCCTGCTCTGGGGGGCAGAACCCACGCGCGCCACACCGAAACGGTGTCTGCGTGGGGACAGGTCCTCGTTAAAGCAGGCTCGCTCATCTAAGATGCAAGCTCGGAGCGGATGCTGAATTGGACCCGCATCTCTGGGTAACGACAGGACCCATGGTGTGTTGAGACCTGGTGCCAATAATTATGGTGGTGGGGCATTTGAGCAGACTGACCATATGCCAACGTCGCATGCAACGAATTACCAAACAGGGGACAAGGTTTTTACAGAGCCTTGGATCAGAGACGTATGGGCAATGAACGCAACTTATCCTCCTCTTTCTATCTTTCCTCTTTCCTTTTGATTTCTGGTGCCAACTGCCTTAGATGCAATTTCCGCTGGTGGTCACTGTCTCCAGTCCGTTCCAATCCAATGCTGCTTGGCCAAAAAGTCGGAGGCAAGCTGGAAACAAATTGCAAACACACATTATCCACTAAAGGTTCGATGCGCGGCAAATTATGCAAAACATGCCCACACAGAAAACAAGCCAAACTGATCCCGACAAGCCGAAAACACACTGGCAAACACTAAACAAACCGAAAGCAAACGACCATAAACGAACAGCAGCCGGGAATCGGGCTAAGGGAAGGCTTGCGACACACCGAAGGCAAGCTACATGTAAACTCATCACAACCTGAATGCCATTTCGAACATGCAATGGCAAACGACCAAGCGAACGACACGCAAACGAACGGCACACGAGAACGGCACACGAGAACACAAGCAACACCGTCGACCCCCGCAAAGACACGTGTTCGACCCGAGAAACCCAAACACACCAGCTGCGGAGGTGTCCAGAACGGGAGCCCCAACCGAACCCAAAGGGAACAGAAGGGAGCCGAATTCAGGCCCAGCAGGGCTTCAAAAGAAGAGGGCACCGAAGGGGTGAAACACACCAGCTGGCGAGGTGTCCAGAACGAGAGCCCAAGCGAACCGAAAAGGAGCGGGAGGGAGCCGAATGAAGTCCCAGCAGGGCCTCAAAAGAAAATGCAGCTGGCGCCGAGGCGAGAATTTTCTGATGGTCGAGGTTCGTGTCCAAAACGGGAGCCCCCACCGAACCCGAAAGGATCGGGGGGGGGGGGGGCCAGAATGAAGGTCCCGCGGGGCCTCAAACAAAAAAGAGTGCACCCGAAAGGGGGTGCTGCCCCCCGCCCCGGCCCGACCAGACGATGGGAGGCGGAGAGGCGTCAGCCAGGGACCGAAACCCGCCTTGGGGGAGGGCCCCTGGGCCTCCTCCTCCCTCCTCCCTCCTCCCTCCCTCCCTCCCTCCTCCTCTTCCTCCTCCCTCCTCCTCCTCCTCCTCGTCCTCCTCGTCCTCCTCGTCCTCCTCGTCCTCCTCGTCCTCCTCGTCCTCCTCCTCCTCCTCCTCCTCCTCCTCCTCCTGCTCCATCCTCCCTCCCTCCATCCCTCCCCTCCCCTCCCTCACTCCCTCCTCCATGCCTGCCTCACTCCCTGCCTCCCTGCCTCCCTGCCTCCCTCCCCTCCTCCTCCCTCCTCCCTCCTCCCTCCTCCCTCCTCCCTCCTCCCTCCCCCTCCTCCTCCTCCGCCTCCCTCCTCCCTCCTCCCTCCTCCCCTCCCCCTCCCCCTCCTCCTTGCCCCCCTACCTCCTCCTCCTCTACCCCTACTCCCTCCGCCTTTCCTCACTCCTCCTCCTCCTCCTCCTCCTCTCCCTCCTCCTCCTCCTCCTCCTCCTCCTTCTCCTCTCCTCCTCCCTCCTCTCCTCCTCCTCCTCTCCTCCCTCCTCATCATCATCCTCTCCCTCTCCTCCTCCCTCCTCCTCAATCCTCCCCTCCTCCTCTCGCGCGCCTCTCGGGGGGGCGGGCCGGCAGGGAGGGGGCCCCACGGGCGCGCGCGGAGCGTGCGGGCCGCCCCGTCCGCGGCTCACACGTCCCGCCGACGCAGCCTCGACAAACAATTCTGCGCGGCTCTCGTCGTCGGTGGCCAGCCGTGGGCGCCTCGCGGGCGCCCACGGCTGGACGCCACGGCTCGCCGCCTTGAAGCGGCCTTCCATGTTTGCTCTTCGCGATAGGCCGCCCCTCGTAGGGCCTCATGCAAGCCCGCCCCTCGTATGGCCTCGATCGCCTCTTCACGATCGCCGCCCCTCGTAGCCCGTCCCAGTACGCATCCCCCCCGTTCACCTTTAACAGATGCTGCCCCTCACGTGGAGAGTTCGCATTGGATCCTGCAGGTGCGTGTTCGAGGAGCCCGCATCGACCAGTGGCAATCTGGCCACGCGTGCGTGCCTATGCGCGCGCGTGTCGAGATCATTCAACGGCTTGGTTTCTACTCTCGTTTCAGACAATGCTTTCACATGCGTATGGACAACCAGTGTTTTAAGCTTTCTACGAGCGCGTACTTGGTAATCTCAAAACAGCGCCAACTGATTTTTGGCATTCTGTCGAATGGGATCATGCGGCCCACACGCGCGCATGTCACCAAACAATCATCGCACGCCGCTAACTCTGCGAAGCAACACAATGCTGGCCACACGCGCGTCCCCGCACGCGGAAGTCGAAATCATCGCGGAACCTCCGGTTCTCGAAATGTTTCAAAGTCGATGCGCCCAAATTCACATGAAAAACAAATGGGTGCCTCTAGAGATCTGCAGATTTTCTGTGCGTGCGCGCTTCCTTGTCATCCTCATACCATTGCCACCGCCATCATCACCATCATTATCTGCACCACACCACCATAAGCTTCATCACCAACACCATCAATGTCGTCATCACCACAATCGTCGTCATCATCACCATAATCGTCATTGTTTTTGTCGAAACCATCGTCATCAACGCCACCACCGTTACCATCACCATCATCCTCATCGCACTCGCGGATGTCGTCGTCAGCATCATCATCAGCCCGCCCTTCTCACGGATCTGCATGAGAAGGGTCCTCGCGTCATTGCGCCAATTGGGTTTAGTCAAAAAGTTGCGGCTGGGTAGCTTGCACCACGTAGCGGCACATACTCTGCACAACATCATACGCTCTGTCACGACGTCTACACCACATCTGTTGCAATACGCAGGTTGCACCGCATAGCCAAACCACTTATCTTTCACCGCACACGCATTATCATATTGTGCGTCGACGGTGCAAAGGAACTGCTGCTTGGGACCCGCGCTGGTTAATGCATCCAACGAGCGACAGCCACAACTTCTGGCAGCAACATCTAATCGGGTGTTGCTAGAAGTGCCCCTGGCTCAAGGTGCCCCCCGGATTTCCAAGGAGGCCCCCACGGCCTCCAGCGAACCCCTCACGAAGCCCAAGGGCCACAGGGGCTCCAGAATGGAGCGAAAAACTGGGGGCACCTTGGGCCAAAAGCACCTTGACCCAACCCCGAACCAAAACCTCCCGCAACAGCAGCCCGGGCCGCACTGGCCAACGGACCTCCTGGGCCCACGCCGTATACACGAGCCGCCAAGCTTACCTTGGTAGCTGTGTGCTTTCACTCGGGCAGCCTCCCGCCAAGCTCCAAGCTCCACCAGGCGGAAGGCAATGCCTCGTCCCGCGATCCATTATGGCCCGTGGGCCCGACAGCAACCCTCGGAAGCCAGAGCGGAGGCAGAACGCCAGAATCGAACGCATGAGTCAATCCGCCCCAAGTGTTGGGTAGGAGGAGGAAACGGATGAAGATGGAGGGGGATGAGGAGGATGAGGAGGATGAGGAGGAGGATGAGGAGGAGGAGGAGGAGGAGGAGGAGGAGGAGGAGGAGGAGGAGGAGGATAAGGAGGAGCAACGACGACGACGTCGACGACCGCAACGACAACGACCTCCCTCAGAGATCGACTCCTGGACCTCTACTGGGGTGCCCTCTGGCCAGAATCTCGAGGCGGACCCAGTCGTGGCGACGAGGAGCCTCGCGGAGGCCCCGAGGGGGCCACGAACGCCGAAGGTCTCGAGCCTCAAACCTCACCCTTGAGGAACGCCGAAGGTCTCGAGCCTCAAACCTCACCCTTGAGGATCTCCGACGGCTTTGTGATCCTTCTCCGATGGACTTGCGGGAGCACGGCCAGAGAAGTCGGAGCAGCTCGGTGGAGCTCGAGGCAAGCCAAGGGCAGGTGGAGGTATGCGCCCAGGAGCTGCCCCGATGACTCTGGGGATGAAAAAGCGTGGGCGTTCCAGTGCGGGTCTGAGGGGGGCTCGACGTCGAGGGAGTTAGATGGTAAATTATCCTCTTAGCAACATGCTTTAGAGGATACTTATCCTCTAACCAACATGATTTAGAGGATACTTATCTTCGCATCAACATGATCTAGCAGGACCTCATCCTCTGTGATCGGGCTCGATGCGAGGATCAGCACCCCAAGCCGGGGATGAATTGTTATTTAGCCGATGCTTCTGCATCAAACGATGCTCGACGCAAGCGCGCTCAGTTCTAATCCTGACCTGGGAGCCCAGACCCCCGACGTAATGTTTTTTTCATTACGTCGACCCCCAGAGGTCCCGACCCTTTCCCCATGACCGGCTTCGCATCCTGAGTCGTTTTTTGACGCTCCCGAGGCCCGGTGAGGGCCCCAGGAGGCCGAAAATTAGGAAAAACCTCCCGCCATGATTTTTTCATTACTCGAGGGGGTCTGGGAGGGCTGCTGGCACGGGGGGCACTGGCCCCGAAGGGGGGGCCGCCGCGACCTGGCCTCCACGACACCTCGCCGATATGGGCGGCCGGCGACGGGCCCCCCACGGGCGCCGCCGCCCGCCACTCCCGGGACGGGCCGGCGGGGCGCCCGGGCCCCGCGCGGCGAGGCGGGGGCGGCCGGGTTCGTCGAGGGCAGGGAAGCCGCCCCGACGAGGACCACCCCGACGCGCGAGGCCGTTTCGCGGACGCGCCCCAGGAAGGCATCGAGCAGGGCAAGGCTGCTTGGGAAGCGCCCGGGGGGCGTTCCGGAAGCGCCAGGCGTCCGGTCCGGGTAGCTTTTCCTCCCTTGAGTTGCGTTGCTTCCGCCGCGCTCACTGAAGAAGAAGAACAAGCCACATAAGCACAAACTTTCGGCGCTCCGCGCGGATTTCTTGGATCCGCGCTGGACCCCCCTCCCTGGCGCGCGGAACGCGCCAGGGGCGGCGCCGGAGGCGTCGCCAGGGGGGCCCAGCGCGGATCCAAGAAGTCTGCGCGGAGTGCCAAAAGTTTATATTTATATGGTTTTTCCCTCTTTGAACTCAAGGACCACATGCCAGAACAGAATTTCGAGCACCCAGGAAAGCATCGAACCAGTGTCGAGCGAGTATCGTTTCCCAGGGCCGGACGCGTGAGAATTATCCAGTTTCGGTGCATTCTTGGCGCCTGAAACTCTTTCGTGTGGTCCTGGCTAGGAAGTAGGTTGGAACATCCGAAGGCTGGGGGTCGATGCTCCCCGCTCCCCGCAGCCAAGCCTCCCGCCGAGGGGCAGCACGAGGCCGCTGAGCAGGGCCCCGTTCACGGGGACCTCGAGGAACCCGGGCACTGGCGCACCCCAGAGGAATGCGGCCGGTGGGCCGAAACGGCCTCCAGTCTCCGCTGGGCGACGATCAAACGAGAGGGTCTTAGGCGAAATGTCAGAGCGACCTCGCGCGGCGGCTCACGCGGGCCGCCAGCGCGGTACGCCATACTGGAGACGAGGACGCCTCCGCGCGACCTTACGCGGGCAGCTTGTGCGCCAGTGTCGGCGCAAACGCCCTGCTCTCTCCGTCGCTCAGCTGTCTCTCCGACCGGACCTTGCAGAGTCCACGTTTGCAGTGTCCTGGCTTCTGGGGTCTGAGTTGATCGGCTGCTCGTGAGGCGTGAGCTTATGCAAAAGTGGCAACTGGTGCGCGGCTTTAAGGGGGGCCACGGGGGTACCCAGGCGCGCAGGCAAATGCTGGGAAGGTCCCCCTTGCGGGCCCGCACCAAAGGTTACCGTGACGAAGGGTCAATCTTACCTCTACATTTCCATGTTTTTCCCCCCCTCCGTGTGGCAGTTGTTTGCTACGCCACGACCCAAAGTCACACTGCCAACCCCAGTCCACATCTCGAAAGCGGACCGATGGTACTCGGTGGTGCACCACGGGCGCCGTCGCCAAAAGAAAGATCCTGAGTTTCAGAGTCTCGCACCCCGGGCACTCTGAGGCGGCATCGCCGCCAAGTATTGGTCTGCGGCAGTGATGACCTTGACGGCGCGTTCGGCTGGTAGCTAAAGGTGCCCCTGGTCCAAGGTGCTCCCCCCGCCTTCCGCTCTATTTTGGAGCCCTGGGGCCCTCTGGCCTCGCGAGGGGTGCCCTGGACCCAGACCCCCCGACGTTGTGACTTTTTTTCGCGTCGACCCCTTGAGGTCTCGACCCATCCCCCGGGATCGTTTTTTCATCCTGACTCGTTTTGTGACGGTCCCAAGGGCTGGTCATCGGCGGTGGACGAACCTCCCTTTCGCAAACCTCCCCTTAGTGAAAACGGCCTGGGACCGAAACCGACGGACCTGGACCCGCAAAAAGGATGGCCGCGACGCCCTCTCGCGAAGCGAAAACGGCCAACTCGCTAATCGACGTGTCAGGGTAGGAGGTCTGTCCACCTCCGAGGTAAGGGCCCCCGGAGGCCGAACACAGCAACAGACACCTCCCGTGCCATGAGTTTTGTTCGGTGCGCGAGGGGGGTCTGGGGAGGCCGTGGGGGGGGGAGCCTCCCAGGAAATCCTGGGCAGACACGTGCAGTTAGCAAGGGGGGCCAAGGACACACAAAGAAATACACACAAATAAAGAGATGCCCAATATTTTCGCATATTTTCTGGGTTTTTGTCTTCCCGCCCAATTCCCGTATTTTCCGGTGGAATCGACGATTAAACGTGTCTGTGTGTTTTTTACCTAACAGCGAAGACTGATAGGCTTCTAGTGGGGTCAAAAAAAAGCATCTTGACGCCCCAGGGGGGTCCGGGCAGAATCCGGGGAGAAGCCGCGGAAGTCGATTTAAGCAAACAGTTACACACTTCGTGGTCTTCGAGGTCCCAGAACACCATTCCCGGGCCACATTCTGAATGCCCGGAGCCAACTGTAGGCCACTTCGTGCTCTTCGAGTTCCCAGAACTCCATTCCCGGGCCACATTCTGAATGCCCGGAGCCAACTGTAGGCCACTTCGTGCTCTTCGAGTTCCCAGAACTCCATTCCCGGGCCACATTTTGAATGCCCGGAGCCAACAGTAGGCCACTTCGTGCTCTTCGAGTTCCCAGAACTCCATTCCTGGGCACATTTTGAATGCCCGGGGCCAACTGTAGGCCACTTCGTGCTTCTTCGAGTTCCCAGAACTCCATTCCTGGGCCACATTTTGAATGCTGAGGCAGGCTGATGCTGAGGCCGAGGCAGGCTAAGAGGCAGGCTGAGGCAGGCTGAGGCTGAGGCCGAGGCTGAAGGCAGACTGAGGCTGAGGCTGAAGCAGGCTGAGGCTGAGGCTGAGGCAGGCTGAGGCTGAGGCTGAGGCAGGCTGATGCTGAGGCAGGCTGAGGCTGAGGCTGAGGCTGATGCAGGCTGAGGCTGAGGCAGGCTGAGGCTGAGGCCGAGGCTGAAGGCAGACTGAGGCTGAGGCTGAAGCAGGCTGAGGCTGAGGCTGAGGCAGGCTGAGGCTGAGGCAGGCTGAGGCTGAGGCTGAGGCAGGCTGAGGCTGAGGCTGTGACTGCGACTGCCGTTGCCGCTGCGACTGTCATCGCGAATGCGACTACGACTGCGAGAACAGCCGAATTCTACAACTGGATTCTCATCTGAACCTTGAGGGGAATGCTTCCAGATATGCTCCTACACATCGCTGTTAGGTTGCTTTGCCGGGATAACTCCCTCCTGAAGTTAGGTCGGGCATGTCCTCCCACAGGCGGGTTTTGGAGGAACGATAAAACAAAGAGCCAACAGGTATTCACAAGTTGCCAGACATAGCAGGAACGTCGTCCCCGGACTACGTTTTGACTATTCTTCTGCATCTTCCTCGTGCAGAAGGGACGTTGCCCGACTCAAAAACGTGCAGCCGATTTGAGCTCCTGGCCATCGCTCGGACGTCCATTCCCTGTGTGTGTTTTTTGGGGTTTCGTGCGTTTTTTTTTTTTGCTTTCTTGTTTTTTTCCACCAAGTGATCAAGAATGCTCCTCGATGGTCCTCGCCGAGGAAAAAAACGCACACGCCCGAGCGGTGCCGAGGCTCCTGACGCAACCCGGGGGCCTCCGGCCGAGCCGCGGCGGAGCGGCGAGCCGCGGCGGGGTTGCGGGGGGCGGGCGGCGCCTCCGCGGGCGCGGGCGGCGGCGGCCCACGCCCGGCCGCCAGGCGGCCCGCGGGCGGCTCGGCGGGGTCGGGCCTCGCGGGGGCCTCGCCGTCGTCGCGCTCCGCCGCGGCTCGTCGGGCGGCGTCGTGCGGCGTCGTGCGTCGTCGTGCGGCGTCCTGCGTCCTGCGTCGTGCGTCGCGGCTCGTCGGCGTCGGCGTCGGCGTCGGGGGCGTCGTCATCGTCGTCGTCGTCGTTCGTTGTCGTCCTTGTCCGTCTCTCGTCGTCTTGGTGGCGGTCGCCGTTCGTGGTCACCATCGCCTTCTTGCCGCTGGCCTCTCGCCGTGATTCTTCGATCTTTCGTCGTCGCACGTCGTCGAGAGGGCAGCGTGCAAGGGGGGCTCGGGCGAGGGGAGCGGCCTTCCGAGAAGGCGGGGGGGCTTCCTGGAGGGGGCTGGCCCTCGAGGCACCATGCGCGGGGCGCCTTTCGAGGGTCCATGGGGTCTTTCTCAGAAGGCCGCCACCCTTGCCCTGCCCCCGCGAGCCACCTGGGGAGTCGATGGGGAGATCGCTCGGGTGCCCTGTCGCCGTCGTCGTTCGTCATCGTCGCCGCTGGTAACGCTTCAGCCCCTGCCAATTTGGCAGGAACCGCCTACGTCGCCAGAGGGTTCAGCAACGCCGTACATCCAACTCGGTCTTCTACGTCTTGCTATTCGAGCAATGCTTGCACTGAGGGCTTCCTACTCTTCTCTCTACGCAGTTGGTTGATGTTGCCGAGTTATGCCCTGGGGCAACCAGAGAACGGCTAGGCACGAACGCCACCGCTGCCAACGCCGCCCCAGACATCCAGCTGCTCCAATTTTTTCCGGGCGTGCGATCCGAAGGTTTCGACCAGTTCCCCAGGGCGAAGTTGTCGTTCTGACCCGTTCTTTGACGCTCCCGAAGCCCGGGAGACAAACAAAAAAAACACACAGAGGCCGAACACGGACAAAAACCGCCCGCTCTAATATTTTCGGAACCTCGGATCTCTTGGGTTGCCGCCGTAGCCGTCGCTACTGCCGCCGTCGCCGCCGTGGCCGCAAACGCCGCCGCCGTCGTCGCCGCTGCCGCCGTCGTCGTGTCGCCTGGGTGGCGGCTCGGGGGATCCCGCGCGGGCCGCGCCGGGCGAATCGGCGTCCGCGTTCGGGCCCTCCTGGTCGCGGGGGGGAACTCCGTACTGCAGGAGGAGGCTCTTGGCCCCTCCAGGTGGCCTCCTGGGTAGCCTCCTGGGACTTTGAAGCGTCTACCCGCATCTCTGAGGCTGGGCTGTCTGTGTGCTCTCTCCCCTCGTGACACCAGGGCTTGAACTTTGGGGCGTCTGCCAACGCCTCAGAGGCTGGGTGGGCAAGGGCTTCGCCGCGTGCTCGGCCGTGGAGGCCCTCCGTGCGCTGGCGGGGTGGGTCGGCTTGGGGTTATCTGTTGGGGGAGGCCGCGTGCGTGCGCGCGTGGGCGCTGAGCGTGGGCGTCCGCACCGTGCGCTGGCTGGGCGGGCCCTGGGGGCTTCCCCATGTGCGCGCACGTGGAACGGGGGGGAGAGGAGGGGAGAGGAGGAGGAGGAGGAGGAGGAGGAGGAGGTAGGAGGAGGAGGTGGAGGAGGTAGGAGGAGCGGGAGGAGGAGGAGGGGAGGAGGAGGAGGAGGAGGAGGAGGAGGAGGAGGAGGAGGGAGGAGGAGGAGAGGGAGGAGGAGGAGGAGGAGGAGGAGGAGGAGGAGGAGGAGGAGGAGGAGGAGGAGAGGAGGAGGAGGAGGAGGAGGAGAGAGGAGGAGGAGGAGGAGGAGGAGGAGGGGAGGGAGGAGGAGGAGGAGGAGGAGGAGGAGGAGGAGGAGGAGGAGGAGGAGGAGGAGGAGGAGGAGGAGGAGGAGGAGGAGGAGGAGGAGGAATGCTATGAGAGCGGACCTCTGTCCTACAAACCACACAAGTTTACCCTCATATGGGGTTAGTCTGAACTGTCTGAATCGCCTCCTCCTCCCACCGCCTCAAAAGATAAAAGGGGCGGCTCCCGTCGAAGATCCTGTGCAATCCGACGTTGCGCAGCTCTCTCCTGGGCGGCGGACCTTGCCTCCGCTGGGACGGGCGGTGGGGGAGGGGCGGGGGAGGGGCCCCCTGGCGCTTCACCCTCGCTCGAACGACCGACGTGAGACGACACCACCCTCTCACGATCACGCGCCGCCATAGCCTCAACAACGGCTTGGGGGGGCCCCTCCCTCCTGGGATATATACCCTTGCGAATTCGAGTGGGGTTCTCGGTCCCCTTAGGGGTCAGTCCCTCACATCGCTTACTGATATGTCTACCATCTACCGTGGCGAAGCGACCACATTTACTGCAGGCATGCATGAACCACTTGTCCACAAAAAACATGGCATGAGTTTCGTGAAACTCCAACGCCCCCGCAACGAACCTTCTGGGGGCCTGGATCACATCTGGGGGCCTCTGTCCCTCTGGGATGGCCCTGCCTGCACAAGGGGTGGCCGCAAACTTGAGCAGTCGAGAGCCTGGCACCACCTGATCACACACAGCGCACCTCCAACCCGTGCCCGACATCTCAAGGCGGTGGGCCGACTCTCGAACTGCTACCGCACACTTGTTAGCTGGGGGTCGCTTCGCGACCTCCTGCCTTCCATTCTTCGCTTGGACTTCTGCACTCGCTGAGTCGGCCAACGCTCGTCTCGCACGCAGCCGCACTAAACTGGCAATGGCATCGATTCTATCCGTCTGCGGGTGGGGAGGAGGAGGAGGAGGATGAGGAGGAGGAGGAGGAGGAGGAGGAGGAGGAGGAGGAGGGGGAGGAGGAGGAGGAGGAGGAGGAGGAGGAGGAGGAGGGGAGGAGGAGGAGGAGGAGGAGAGGGAGGGGAGGAGGGGGAGGAGGGGGAGGGGGGGAGGGGGAGGGGGAGGAGGAGGAGGAGGAGGAGGAGGAGGAGGAGGAGGAGGAGGAGGAGGAGGAGGAGGAGGAGGAGGAGGAGGCGGAGGAGGAGGAGGAGGAGGAGGAGGAGGAGGAGGAGGAGGAGGAGCGGAGGAGGAGGAGGAGGAGGAGGAGGAGGAGGAGGAGGAGGAGGTTTACCGCCCATAGAGGGAGAGTCAAGGGGGGAGAGAGGAAAATTGGGGTGGGGGCGCCCATCAGACGAGAACTTTTTGTTCCCGCCCGAGGCTGTGATCCACCTCGGGCGGGCCCAGCCGACAGGGCCCCCCACCCCCCAGAAACTTACCCTTCAGCCTCTGGGTCCGCGGCACCCGCCGCCCTGGCCTGGGCAGAAGCTCGATCCAGGAGCACCTGTCGACCAAGCTCTTCAGCCTCCGCTCTGGAGCTGAAGCCAAAAGCGAGCAGCACGGAATCCAAGCCGAGGCGTGGAACCACGGCCTGTTTCGAAAACGGGGCGACCCTCGGCGCTCTTGGAGCCGCGGCCGCCCCAGCAAGTGCCTCCCCGAAGTGCCTGGAGAAACGGCCCCTGGTCACATCGGACGGGGCCTCCGAAGGCCCGGGCGCCACCAGAGGGTGCAAAACATGATGAAAACCTTCTTTCAGCCTCTTTCGGACAGTGTACGCTGACCCCCCGAGATCTTCTTGGGCCCCTTGCAGACTCCCACAAGACCTCGCTGCATCGGGGTGGTCGCATACTGCCAACAAGACGGGCAATACATTATCGGGGAATTATTGGGCACCGAGCTCTGCACTACACAGTGACCATTCACTCTCCAAGGCTGAACACCCTTGTCCAGGAGCCAGTCCGGATCCTCTGAGGCGGGCCCTGGAGGTTCCACCGCAGCAGCACGAGCAGGAGGCTCGGGAGGAGGGAGGACCGCATTACTGGACTCCGCCTCAGGGACCTCTGGGACCGACAAACCGTGGTAGTGCACCAGCCCCAGGTCGATTTTCTTGAGGTACTCGACCCCAACATTGTCCCGAATTTCGGACGAGGCCATCGAGGCCGCCAGCTGGGCCGAAAACTTGGCCGCGAGCTTGGCAATCAACTGGCATCCTTCTACCAGCTCAACGTCGCAGACGGCGGCTCTGGCTTGGGCCGCACCTGTCTTGGCGAAGCTATCTGCAGCATTGTTGCCGTCTCTGTCGAACGGCGAAATCAGGTCGCGCTCAACGCTGGCGGCCGACGTGTGGGCCTTGACGTGCTCGAACGGCCGAGCACGGAAATCTTCGCGCGCATGAGCCCGCCTCCACAGGTGGGCTCGCGGGTTGCACGCCGAAGTCGACATGCTGGGCGACTGGCAGCAACTTAGTGTGCCCTTGCAGTCTGCCCGCGCAGAGAACTGACCCAGAACATTCTGGGCGCACATCAGCATAGCATAGTCTTCGCCATCTCTGGCCGTGCCAGTGATGCCGATATCAGGCGGCACTGCTCCAAATAGCGCTCCGACGTAGCATCTGTCGGAGTCGTGCAGCACCGCGCTCCAGCCAGCAACTCTGAGGGGCGGGTGGTGCTGGTCGAGGCCCGACCCATCCGTGAAGACGTACCCTCCTTCCAGGAGGATTGGCAGCTGGAGGGCGCCGTGCACCCACAGCCCCCAGCTTGGATTGAAAGGTGGTCTCCCCACGCACTGGCCAGGCTCAGGAAACAACCCCCGCGCGAACCTTTCCTTCCAAACTGGCGGGCTTCGCTTCATTCTGTCGACCGATCTGGCCAACTCCGTGGGCATGCAATCCCGTCGGAAAACATCGTGCGCAGGGCAGGCATAGCAACGGTGAAACATGGTTCCCCGAGATGCTTTGCACAATTGGCACTCCTCTGGGAGAGACGGCTCCTGGTCGTGAAGCCGGCCCTGGGTCCAGTGGGAACCTGAAACCAAGCCCCGAAGAGCGTTCTGCTCGTGGCGGCCCCAGGCCTCCGTCCAGTCACAAAACATCAGCTCAAGCAGGGGCCTCCAGCACACGTCGGTGACCCAGGCATCGTCCTGCAGGCTGAGCGCTCGGACGTCCGAGGCGCGTCGGGCCGCGAACGAAATCTGAGCTGCGATGCAGGCAGGCGAGTAACATCGCAGATCCCAGTCGACCCCCCGATCGTCCACCAAGGTCACCGCGTTCCGAAACCGCCATCCCACCCTCTGGGTTGTAATGGCCGCGGCAGCCACTGGGTCCTTGCAGGTTACCCATGGCCGCTCGGAAGCAGCATTCTTGTTTCCAGCAGTCACCAGTGCCTCCAGGACCGCCCTCGAGAGCTGTCCGTCGGAGAGCACTTCGCAATACTGGCGGACCGAATCCGCCGTCGTTAAAATCAGAAGATCACGCCTCCAACCTTGGCGCCCACTACCCAGGTACAGCTCAACCGAAGACCCACTCGGGAATCTGCCTTCCGCGTGAGCCGCCAAAACTCGCAGCCCATGGAGCCTCGTGTCTCCTAGGCCGTGGACACAGGAGCCCCACATGGCAACTGCCGTGGGGCCTGAGCGGTGGATGCGAAATATGGTCGCGCCAGCTCCTTGCAGCGTGCGCAGCTTGATCGCGCGCCTCTTTGCCGCAAGGTATCGATCAAGGTGCGTGGAGACCCGTCGAAACCGCCCGTCCGAAGCATCACCCCCCAGATCTCTATGAGCTGACGCTCGGCTGCCAGCCAACTGTGGGGGCAGCTCAGCCAGCAAGGCAAACGCAAGCGTATTGGTGTTAGCCAGCACTCCAGCCTTATTCCACGAGATCGGCAGCGTGCGTTCATGCACATCGGCAGCTACAATATTGAAGGCCCTAGCCACCTGCGGGAGGAGGAGGAGGAGGAGGAGGAGGAGGAGGAGGAGGAGGAAGAGGAGGAGAGGGGGGGAGGGGGGAGGAGGAGGAGGAGGAGAGGAGGAGGAGGGAGGAGGAGGAGGGAGGAGGAAGGAGGAAGGAGGAAGAGGAGGAGGAGGGAGGAGGAGGAGGAGGAGGAGGAGGAGGAGGAGGAGGAGGGAGGAGGAGGAGGAGGAGGCAGGAGAGGAGGAGGAGGAGGAGGAGGCAGGAGGAGGAGGAGGAGGAGGGAGGAGGAGGAGGAGGAGGGAGGGAGGGAGGAGGAGGAGGAGGAGGAGGAGGAGGAGGAGGAGGAGGGAGGAGGAGGAGGAGAAGGAGGAGGAGGAAGAGGAGGAGAGGAGAGGAGGGAGGAGGAGGAGGAGGAGTAGAGGAGGAGGAGGAGGAGGAGGAGGAGGAGGAGGAGGAGGAGGAGGAGGAGTGAGGAGGAGGAA